CGATGCGTATAAAAAATTCCATAATCTCTGTGACAGTAGTAGAACGTGGTCGATATCTACTATAATTTGAACGATAATCGGATTTGAATGAGAAATTATTAAGAAAATACTTAAAAAAAAGATTTGATTTAAACTGTAAAGTGTATCTGAATGATGGATGAATTTGAAGGACGATAGAATTTTTAGCGAACGTAAATTATTAGAAAAACGATGGAATTTGAAGGAACCTGTTTAACCATCTGATGGTATTAACGATAATAATTGAAAAAACGATCGAATATGAATTATAGATGAATTTCAATGATAATTGTTTCCATTCGATAGAAACAACTGATCTATGCAGAAAATAGGCCACTGCCGATCGGCGTAATATTCAACTGTAGCCAGTGATTCGCCCGCAGCGTAATAATTTTCACGGCCTCGAGGCTTGGCCACGTGTGCAGTTGCACGGTACATCTGACGAGATTTAATCAGCGTACAACGCCACGTAAATAACTTATCGCTGGTAACAATAATGAATTTTCGACAGTTTCATCGTCCGTGGATAGCAACGTCGATCGAACATAGTGGACACGGATGAGCTTCCACCATCAAATCGAGATTACTCTGTTTCGTTCACGTACTGCAATTTCGAATTTGATAGTTAGCTGTGTAATTGGATTTTAACGTACCAATCTATTACATACAAGTACCTGTAATCGCCATCGGTTTAAAAATTATTGTACAATTATTAAGATATAATTTAAAAAAATAGTTATCGATAGAGCTATCTTTCTGGCACTCTGTACATTGAAATTACTATAATTCCAAATTTTTACGTTTTCCGCCTCCTACAAGTAAATTACTTGTACACGTTGTGTTACGATTATATTGCTTGCTTGAAAATTCGCGTATTTCAAATTCTTGCAATTTTGCAGTTTCCATTAGGTTGGCAACTAAGCGATTGCGGATTTTGCCATTAGGTGGCATTGAGAAAATCCGCAATCACTTAGTTGCCAGTGCAATATATTTCAAAGAACAACGATCGTGTTCCTCGCCTTTTACGTAGGCGTATTTTCGCTTCGACGTTACAAAACTTCCCCAACCCCCCAATTTATCAAGCGACCAACTTTCCCCCTTTTTTAAACCTATCATTTATATAAATAAGGTTCTTTGCAACAAAGCTTCCGTTAACCTTGCCAATAATCCACCACGACGTTCAAATTTTTTACAAATTTCTTCCCACCTCCTCGCTTACCTCTAAAATGAATTTCTCCTCTCAGACAACCCATCGCAGACTGCGTAATGGCTGAGACGAAAGAACGCGATCGATCTACTCTAAATAATAGCTCAAACAGTAGCGAATCCTCTGCTATATCCGAAAACAATCTAAGAAACGCAAACAATTTAGTGAGAGGGAACCAGCTGGTGGGTGAACTTCAGACGATTGTTCGTTGCGTATAGAAGAGGGTGCAATAGACGAAGGGGATAAAAAATCGAAACGCAAGTATCCAAATAGTCGGTGAACGGAGCAAAGGTATCCATTAGCGGACTACAGAAGCCCTTGGTGGGAGCAGGGGAACAAAGGGGCGATGGGGATGGCGAGGCAGTGTAACCGCAGCAGTTGCAGGGCTAAAAGCAACAGGCAGCCAATCAATAACCGCCCTTCTGCCTGGGCTGCGACTTTACCAACTTCGCAACGCGACATTGTACCTACGATGATCGCCACCGTTCGAGCAATCCATGGCGTCCTCGAGAATTTTTAAAGGAACTGGAATCTTTCTGGTGAAGTTGAACGAGGAATTTTTAGGGGAACAGCGGGGGAAAAGTTTAAAATTTGAAAGAATCTTTGGTAATTGATCAAAGAAGAGGAAATATTACACGGTGAACGACGATTTTTATTAAGACAGCGGTAGGGATTTGTGTGGAACAGGTTCTCACAGTTTTTATTTATTTTCATAGAACGTCATAAATTGATATAACATTTTCGCAGAAATGTCCAATTTCCGATCATTTTTGCTAAACCATGTATTTATTCGCCTGCATTTCATATTTTTCCACCCATTTATCGTTTCAATTTGCTCGCTACGAATCGTACTCCTTAATCGTCCGTGCCCTGCTTCTAAAAGTTGCAGTGGCCTCGAGGAGGGCAAAAGGAACAAGCGATTAAGAAAGTTGGTTAAACTGAGCCATGAGGGGCGCAGGGTACGGCGAATTGGAGTTGTCCCGTTTCGACTAAAGCGCGATTGGGACTCGATGACACGGCCGGCGTGCTATCGATTTTAGGTTATGTCCAATGAAACGCGTCCAATATAAATTCTCACGATAGCGCGCCACTCGAAACAGCCTCCGTGACGCTGCTAGTCAACTGGCAGATATTTATAGAGAAACAACTATGAGAAGAAGTTGAGAATGTTGAGGCTTAATCGCAGTGAAATATAAGCAGAAAAACAAATTTTAATATATAACAAGGTAAAAACGTTACGACTTATTTCATGTTTTTGTTAGAACCATCAAATAGGTTAAGATCATTTATGTCTTTAAAATGATTCATAAAATCGGTAATTTCGTAGAATTTTATTTGAATGAATTATCGTTATATGTAACAAATAGCGAGTAAAGGAGGCTCGTAGTCAAGATTTCATCGAATCTACAGGATTTTATAATAATTTTCATTTTAGACGATCCAGGAATTGCTGCAAACTATTGCAACCACCGCTACGTTCATAAATGGGTCAAATTTTGTAATTGGTGAATAAATCAAATAAAATCCTGAAGCACAAATAATCTCACCACTTTCAGTTGGGGAAGCATCTAAACTGATAAATCAAAATGCTATCCGTAATTACTGCGCTAGTTATAACGCCAGGGAATTTCAGATAATGTGTTCGCATTAAATCCCTCCACTCGAAAATAGCTGAATGAATTTCGTTCAATTATCAGGGGAACGCGCGTGCCATTACGGAAATTGTTAAACTTTCCACTCGGATACTCTGCGACTGCAAATTGCTTATCTCTTTGTTACGGAAGGGTGGGAACGCGCTTGATGATACTGACGAAGGCTAGTGACCATTGCGTAAAACGCGATAAAACACGTCTGAGGAAATGATATCGTTAAAATAAATGTAAATAAACTTGGAATTATAATTGTAATTTACGGCAATATTACATGCGTGGTTACACTTAATCGCATGGATGATATTATCACAAATTGTGATTGTATCGAGACGTAAATTGAATCGATATATGTCTCGACATTTTTAATATTTGAAGTTGTAAGGAATGGGAATAAGCGACGCAATTCCACGGCCTAACCACACACACGCATAATGTGTGTTCATTAATTAGTAAGAAAGTTTGTTCTCTTTCTTAATCTGAAGGATAAATAAGAGAATTAATGAGTTATGTTTGACCGATGACAGATAATCTAAAAGGCGTCGATAAAGCTCAAATTGTCTGATAGTAAAACAGATTTCTGATTTATCGCCAATAAAATGCTACTTTATGTGGAATCTACAATATCGACTAGTCAGTAAGGAAGAACGTTACAAATTTTCACAAAGAATTTTAGAATTTACCAACAGCGCAGCAAAAGTTATTTTTCAAGCAAAATAATTCATCTTTGGCCTATAGTTCCTTATAAAATATAGCCTTATAAAATTAGAAATAGCGTCTTAATGCAATATTGTAGAATCTTTCGACGCCATATTGCTGCACATTACACCGCGTATATTAGATTGGCGAACTTTGTTGAGTTTGTTCGAACTCCTTATAACCGCAGAAAACAAGTTAAATATCACTAGGTATGATTACATCTGAAGTTGTACGACCCTAGTCCAATGGAAATGGAAAAATTCCCTAGCGGGGACAACAAATTCTCTAAATCAATATTGAACAATCCTCTGTACAATCAGAGGAACTGAGATTAAATATCAAGTAAAATCCGCGTTAAATTATTATTTGATTTCAAGTTGAAGTACCAGGATTCGATAGAATCTAAAATTCCCTAATGTGCATAGGGAAGTTTCTAAATTAGGCAAGCACCAAGTTGGTACAATCATACGAAATTGAGGTTAAATATCAGCTAGAAATCCGTTGGAATCTCAGTTGAAATCCGTTGGGATCGGTAAGTGCATGTCTGTAAAAATAGCGAGACATTCGAAAGAGTCGAAGTTCAGGGGCGAATGTCAAGAACAATACACTTCTGAACCTAGTCACGTGTGCTTGAAAATCAATACACCGCTGAACTTGGTCGTGCATGCTTGAAAATCGATACGCCGCTGAATTTAATCGCGCACGCTTGGAAAACGATACACCGCTGGACATAGTGCGTAAGAGTGCAAATCAGTACACCGCTGGACTTAGCGGAAGGCAACTGTTTCCCAATTGACTATACTTATAGAGCCATGAAGGCCAAGATGGTAATGCAACCAATCAAAGCGCAGAAACCTGAAACAGTAACAGACGCGACAGTTGCAAGCCCAGTGTTAGGCCGGGTGACAAGCAAGAAGCGAGCTAACGGGGAGAAAAACGAGGAAAAGGAAGAAGAGCGGCCAATTCTCGAAATAAGGGAACAGGCTAGCGAAATAGAGAAGAGCGTACTGGCGTTCTGCATGGACCCAAACAAGAAAGTTAACAAAGAGCAAACGACAACGATCATGAGACACTTCAAGGACATGCGAAATCTGCTGGGAGAGCTTCTGCTTTATAACGGCTTTCTCACAGAAAAGTTAGAGCATGGCTCAGACGAAACAAAGAATCAAGGGTGCGCGATATACTGTGCGCAGTGAGCAAGTCGCTGCAAGCCAGCAAACGACGTGAGACAGTTGTTGACTTGCAAGGTCGCTCAGACGGCGGTAAAACTACCGAAAGACGTGGTTATAATCTGGCCTGAAGCAGAGGATGGGGAGATAAAAACGAGTGAAAAAGCACGGGATGCGGTGTTTACACTTGTAAACTCGTAACTCGAGCCGTTAGAAAAATCAACAGCAACGGTCTAATGGTAGAAACGACGAAGCCGGAAGAGTTTAAAGTGTTTACAGAAAATGAGAAGCTGGGACAACATCCCACACAAGCGCATGCTCCGGATGATAATATTTAACATCCCAAGGGACATGACGGAGAAGGAGATACTAGCCTGTATCATGAAGCAGAACCAGGACAGGTTGAAAAAAGAAGACGCGGCAAAAGTGAAGTTCTGCTTCGGGATAGGGCGCAAGCACAACGAGGAAACCAACTGGGTAATTGAGATACACCCCCAGGTAAGTGAAAAATTGTTGACAGGTAAATTATTCATTTCTTAAAATGCATGCAAAATCCAGGAATATATAGCAATTAGTCGCTGTTACAAATATCAAGGGTACGAACACATGGCAAAGTACTGCCGCGTGAACTATGAAATCTGTGTGCACGGCACGAAGAAATCATGTTAAGAGCCTGCGACGCGGCCATTCCGAAGAAGAAATGGCACAATAGATCCGTATCATGGTGGATGGAGGAGGTCACACGAGAAAATAGAGACACCTACCGGGCAAGAAGGAGGAAGTACCAGAGGGCTAAGGGCCCTGCAACGAGGGAACAAGAAAAGCTGCTGTACCGGCAAATCAGGTAGGAATGCACGAAAATGGCGACGAAGGCGAAGATCCAGAGATGGCGGGAAATCGTAACCGAAAAAGGAAACAAAAAGCTTTGGGGCATTGTCTACAAAACGGTGACGGGTAAACTCAGGGGAGAAGAGACGATATTCACATTGCGAACGCCACAAGGGGATATACCTCCAACTGGCGATCCACCGCAGCGGCGATGCTATCGGCCCTCATACCCGACGAACACCTTGTAGTATAATTTCTAACTCGAGGTATGGCGCGGTCGACCAAAAGGTCGGTCCCTGGAACGCACACATTACTGCTAGCAGGTTGATGACTGACCGTATAATAGATCGATACCAAGCCGTAACTTCATTGCAGACACATCGGCTAACCTATTCGACGAGTCTGCTGAAAGCTTTCTGCTGATCACGGATTCGTTTGAAGCCAACTGTGACGCTCCTTCGACCAATGTCCGCAAGTTTTTTCAACATGATCAGTGGATCTAGAGGATTGAACGAACTCGCTGACTTTTGGTGGCCAAGATAGTAAGCGTGTAGTGCCATAGATAATTACTATAATATAATAGAAAATCATTCTATGAATAATGGATACTTATTCTAGGAACGACAATTAGTATGGATAGTCATTTTAAAGATAATTGTTATTACGTATTGTTGTGAATAATTACTATTATTATAAATAATTATTATTAGGAATTATATGGATACACACAATTAGTTTCGTGGCAGTAAGAGGATTTACTGTCCATCTACTAAAAGCATTAAGCTTTCACAATGAATAATGGGGACCATTCGAATTATCGCAGACTGCAACTTGAACAACCGCCGAAACTATTAGGACTATTGAAGCTATCAGCCTTCCATGAAGATTTGTAGGCCAATAAAGCTACTCAGATGTTCTACAAGTATCTTACAGCTACTAGAATTAATACGTAATCTCGTAGAAACTTCTCAAGTATTGACTAAATAATAATCTTTTTTCAACTCACGTGTGCTGCTTCATCAGCTACTTCACGCAGAATATACATATGGAGTGGTAGAAAAAATTGATGAAATTGTCTAAGGTGAGCATCAATTGAATACTTTGATACAAGGATTAAAAAAAAACTTATTTAACTAGAGTTAACCATTTCGTCATGTGAACTTGTTGTTCATATGCTCAGCTATCAGATCCAACATAGAAACAAGCTTATGGAAAGTTCGCTGGAATTAGTTCGCACGACCATATTAAATGTTTAATCAACGATCATTCTCTATCGTTCATACTCTACTCGCTATTACAATAACCGTTAATTACACGCCACTGGCCAACTAGACTACTTGCACAATGAATTGCCAATTCATTAAACATCGAAGTAAATCCTATACGTCCTATAGAACACGTCCTATAGAACAGTACCCATGGCAAATAATATTGAAAGGCTGCCAGGTGACATTTGACATGTTGTTGTATGATAATCGCATTGACAAATAAATAGCGATTAATTCGAATTAGGGGATTATTAGAATGAATAGTTGGACGTGATTTGTCACTTTGATTGCTGTACTTGGGAGGGACTGTTGACGACTGTTTGGTGCTTCTATGAAATTACGTAATTTTGCGTGCGCGCGCGCGCGCGTGTGTGTGTGTGTGTATGTGTGTGTGTCGGTCGAATCTGTTGGAGTTTGTTGATTTGGGATTCTAGCTTTTCTAGAAACTGCTTCAAGGGTGTTCTAAGAAAAAATCGAAGAATTTTATCGGTACGTTTGCTATGTCTTTATGAATCGAAAGGACCATGTACATTATGAGACCTGATTCGTTCATTTTTGAGACATTTATTTATTTTATAGTTTTATCATTGTTTTATCGGTGAAGAAGCCTGCCATACTCATGTCATAAGCCTAGCTTACTTTTGTATCATTTCATTCGTTCACCTTTGATTTACGATTACAATACAAGTATTGATACATTAATTTATTTTTTTAGCAAATGACGGGCACAAGTCCTATGGTACAAGGGAACAGAGGAATTACAATAACGAATAATAGGTGTTTGCGAAACATTCTGTTTATGAGCTTCATTAATTAATAGGAATCTTTCTTAATCTGGAGGATAAACAAGAGAATTGAGAACATTTTGAATATTTTGAACGACTTGAATTAATTAGCAGGAATGTATATTGTCTTTCTTAATAAGTATATTAAGTATAAGTAACTGTACACATGCAAACTCACCTTATTTAACTGCATGCACAAAAAGTACACGTTACTCGACTTACCTGAAAGTAAGAAGAAATAGAAACGTTAATGAGTTATGTTTTACCGCAGACAGGTAATGTAAAAAACATCGATAGAGCTCAAATTGGCTGATGGTAAAACAGGTTTCTGATTTATCGTCAATAGAAAGCTACTTTATGCAGAATCTACAATATCGACTAGTCAGTAAGGAAGAACGTTACAAATTTTCACGAAGAATTGTAGAATTTACCAACAGTGCAGCAGAAATAATTTTTCACATAAAATGATGGAGAAATTCGAATTTCTTCGTATCTTATCATTTTATTTCTTTTCAGATATGTTTTATTTCGTCTGCCAACCATTTCTCCAAATTTCTCCCATTATAAGCCATGTCAAGGAATCCCACCCAAAGATTACAGATGGGGTGAACGATTAAACTAACACTAAAAAATCAAAACATCGAATCATCGTAAATTACTGAATATCGATGGAATGATTTTGAAGGGCTCTCGACATATACAACAAGAAGTTTTAATAGCAGTATAATTCAAACATTATGTGTCAAAATTTTAAGTCCATTAATTGATTTGTAGGGTACGCGATCTGCTTTTCATTATTAACCATTTCGCTTCGAGCGCCGCTTATAGGTGGCATCCGCGAGATGACCTGTGGGTACGAGCGCCGCATATAGACGGCGACCACGTGACGACTATTAATTATTATCAAACTATTATTTGATTTCAAGTTGAAGTACCAGGATTCGATAGAATCTAAAATTCCCTAATGTGTATAGGAAAGTTTCTAAATTAGGCAAGCACCAAATTGGTACGATCATACGAAATTGAGATCAAATGTCAACTGGAAATCCGTTGAAATCAGATCGATAAGTACTCATCTGTAAAAATAGCGATACATTCGAAAAAGTCGAATAAAGAGGGGAAACCATTTTGATAGCAGAGTCGATCTGACGGAAGGCCATCGCGGGATTTTGGTGCGATACGAGAGGCGTCCCCTGCGATCAATTTTTAACCGAGCGTTTACGATACACCTGTGTTTACACGCTCACGTGCTAGCAACCTGAACCTAGTCACGTGTGCTTGAAAATCAATACGCCGCTGAACTTGGTCGTGTGTGCTTGAAAATCGATACGCCGCTGAACTTCGGCAACGCGAAATTGCTTCTACTTACGCAGCGGAGAGGACCGTCCAGGGAATATGTTTACGAAGTCGCTTTAGCGAGAGCGAAGTTAACTTTATTGTTCACCTTAGAAAATAACCTTGTTCCAGGTTCTAATGCATGGGTCCCAAAGATGCTGGTGTGGCATTGCACTCTTCACGCCCACCAGTGCCAAGTGCCAACTCCTCCTCCACGTCGGTGGGTCCTGGTAAACGCTGGCTTGACAGTGGCTAACGGAGCAATGGCTATCCTAAACACCCTTCCTCTGTCCTGTTCCCATATCACAATCCTTTCCTCGAACTGTGACTGGTGGTTCCGGAAGAAAATGCTGACTGTACAAGGATGGTGACGTGACTTAAAACCCCACGCTTCCCGAGAAAGAGAGCAGGATATCATCGTGGCATAAAACACCAGGGGGTCGTCGCGGGTTAATATTCCGCTGGACCTACGTCAACAGCTCTGGCTTTGAAAGGGACATGATTTGGTCTCGGCCGCGAGGCTGGGAGGGACATTTTACTAAGGAGCCCGGTGTCATGACTTTTCCCTTCTTTCTCCTACTTTTCCCCTTTCCCTTACCACCCAACTTCCAATCCCTCAGGGGGCTGCGGACTCGTTGACGAGTCGCAGTACGGGAATGCGATCCCGAGGAACCCTAGCCCAAATACCGTATTCCATTGGTCATGTCTCAATGGACCGGGGGTCTTGCCTTCATTGGCCGGACCGTGAGGATGATAACCTCTATAAAAAATCCCTAACTCTAAGCAGAGGTGCGCGGCGATGGGGTACCTCGCAGTCGAGGGCACTGCGAGGTGGCTGATGGGTGCGTCAGTCATTAGCGGCCAACCCCGAGGTACCTGGCGACCCCCCGGTGGTATTAGCCCTCTGCCGGTAAGCGGCTCTGCTGGTGGTGACATCCTTTCCGCAAGACTTTTAGTGGCCCCCAGAAGCCTCGGTAGATGAGGGCCGTACGGACCAGATGATACGCACTCCAATGAAACGAAGAAACAAAAGGAAGAGGAAGGAGAAAGTGAGGAGAGGAAGGGAGGAAGAGAGGAGAGGAAGTGAGGAAGAGAGGAGAGGAAGTGAGGAAGAGGAGTCGGCTCCTGAGCTTGTGCGGACAAGCGTTGAACATATATCGAGTCTGCAAACCGAGGAGACGACGGACGATGACGAATGGAGTCGGAGGAAGAGGAGTCGGCTCCTGAGCTTGTGCGGACAAGCGTTGAACATATATCGAGTCTGCAAACCGAGGAGACGACGGACGATGACGAATGGAGTCTCGTCGGGTCTTCCGAAGTTTCCGATCTCGAGCAGAAGCTGCGCAAGTTGCCTTTTTTGTACGCACAAGCAGAGGTGATCCGGAGGGCGGGAGGAATCAACATGTTGGCCGACACATGTAGCGATCTCACGGATGAGGAGGCTGAAACACTCAGAGAGTCGGCGAGAAAAATCATCGCGTACACTGTTGAAATGACAATAAGGGCACTTCCCATAATCTCGATGGAAAAACGGTTGGAGATACTGGAGGCAGAGAGCAAGGCACTCCAAAAGCAGCTGGCCGAACCTACGGCCATGGATGTGGACAGTAATGCAAGGCGTCTCGACGAGTTGGAGCAAAAGTTGGATGTGTTCCAGTCGCTAATAAGGGAAACAGATGAGTACTACGAAGGGCTGGAAAAGGTGGTCTCCTCTGGTCCGATTGCAGAACGGACAGAGACTGAAGTTTCAGACCCCCAAGTGTCCAGGGAAGTCCCTGAAGAAGGGAAAGCGACTGCCATGGATTGCCAGTCCGCAGGGAAAAAGGCAGCAAAGAAGAAGAACAAGAAGAAAGCGGAGAAAAGACAATCGAAGAAGATAACTCCGGGAACAGAGGAGAAGAGTTCGATGGAAGCTCCGGAGCAAAGTTCAGAGGACAAGGAAACAAGGAATAGGAAACTGGCTCTTCCACGCCGCCCGCGAACATCGGCGGTAACCATAACGATCAAGAAAGGAATAGCTAAATCTTACGCGGAAGTGCTGGCCACGGCCAGGGACAACATCCACCTGACTGAGATCGGCATCGAATCGATAAAGATGAGGAAGGCAATAACCGGAGGGGTCGTATTGGAGGTGCCAAAGGACCAAAAGAGGGAGAAGGCCAGCGCACTCGCAGCACGGCTGATCAAGGTCCTTGACCCGAACTTGATCCGAGTGGCGGCACCCTACCGGACTGCGGAAGCAAAGGTGGTCAAGATAGACATCTCGGCCACCATAGACGAGATAAGGGAGATCTTGGCGCAGAAAGGAGGATGCAAGGTGGAGGACATCCAGCTGGGAAAACTTCGCACCTCCAAAGACGGTCTCGGGTCCGTGTGGACGCGATGCCCGATAGATGCAATGAGGAAGCTGACCCAGGCGGGTAAAATAACCATCGGATGGTCAGTAGCAAAGATCGAGACCATCGAGCGAAGACCTCTGCAATGTTTTAGGTGCCTGGAGATAGGGCACGTGAAGAAAACGTGCACCTCGAAAGAAAACAGGGAGCACCTATGCTATAGGTGCGGCATCTCCGGACACCTAGCCAAAGAATGCACCGCAATAAACCCAAAATGTCCTCTCTGCAAGGCGCTTGGGGCACCGACAGATCACAGGATGGGGGGACCGTCTTGTATCTCTTCGAAGAAAGGAATGAAAGCAGCCACCCGCAAACCAGAGAAGACCGTAGAAACCTTTCGTCTAGGAAAATGGAAACCAAATGCGCTTTCTGCAAACTAATCTAGAACGGTCGAGACGGGCGCAAGACTTGCTTTTCCAGACCATCCGGGAGAGCACGGTCGTCCTAGCGGTGGTGGCTGAACCGTTTAGAGTGCTGGCCGCACCTCCTCCCTTGAAGTTCCAGGGGTCGGCATTTAGACGGAAATATAAAAGACGTTCGGGGGGTCACCGAGAAAGAGTCGTGGGACCAGTGGCGATTTCAGCTGATCAGGAAGGAGCAATGATCTCCTCTAGCTCCACAGTTAGTCGATAGGATCGATAGAGTTGGCTCGACGAAAGTACGCGGGGAGGGGGGGGGGCATTCCTTCCAAAGGCATAGGTAGATCATCGTGGATTTCTTCACATATAAAAAAAAAAGTTTGAATTACACGTGAATTAGGTTAGAATAATTATACTTAATTTTCTTTAATATTTACTTTCTAACATTATACTTAATTTTGAACTTAATTTTCTTGTTAGATTCATTTAAAATAATTCATTTTTCATTTTAGAGTAATAATAAAGCCCACCGATTATTGTAAACCTTCCTCAGCATGATATAATCCATAATCCCACGACTGTACTGCATAAAGATTAAAAACACCCAAGATGGACCTGTATTATCAGTATATTAATTTTCCTTTAACAATTCCCAAGAATAACATCGATAATTCGAGGAAAGTTTGCGCGATAGCCTGCGGACAACGTAGAAGAAAACTTAGGCTAGTCTCGCGAGGTTAGGCTGGCATTTCAGTTTCGATTTCGGCCCAGTCAACGCATTGAATATTCGTTCTAGCTTCGTGCTGCGTTATCCACCATCTCATCGTTGGTGTTAACGACCCATCCAGGTTTCCACGTGGAAAGTGGCTTAACGCAGTGAGCTGGATAAATAATTGATTTTCATCGTCGTTCTCCAACTCCAAATTCAACCCAGACCTGTTTCATACTCTTATACTGTACGTTTAATGGAAGCTGATTGTATCGTTACCCTATGTATCCGCTGCAGTTATCGAGTTTTGATCGGTTGACCTGCGGTCTCGGGTTCCACTTCAAATTCTATACCGTAATTGCCTTTCACGCGATGAACAAGAATTCTAAGCGTGTTCGATAGCTTCTGGCATTGGGAACTGAATTAGGAAAATAGTTTGTTTGGCTAGCGTTCGTGTTTTAAAGTAAAATTGAAGAATATGTGGAATAAGCGGCTAAGTAGAATAGGGTCGTTGTGGCCAGACATACGTGAAACACGGTCTTCTGAGTAATGAATATTGTCCATTTTGAAAATATTTACTTGTTGAAGAGTGTATTACATTAGACGTGGTATTTCATAGAAATATTAATTTTACCTATGAAAAATAAAAAATCAACCCTTTAGGCGTTCTATATATGTAATAAGAGTTACTACACTAATATTTTTTAATGGGACGGATATAGCCAGAATAACTCAATATTTCAATTATCGTAACATATCGAAAACGTAACATCGTCCAAACTTTACGAATGAAATGAAACGTTTGACGATAAAAAAAAATAAATTTTACAGTACGACGAGGTAAATGGCAATGCTTAATCAATTGATGCGACTTCTTTATACAATTCCAAACCGGTGTAACTAGCTCGAGGGAAAGAAACAGTAGGATTCCCAGTAGGGCAACGTCTGCCAGTCTATCGATTGACTGGTTCAAGATTCGAGCGTTCGAATCTCCGTAATACCGCGAACGTGTGTCATTAACTACGAACTCGAGGAAAGAAATCGATGATTAGGCGAAACGGAATATTGGAAACGAGGGGTGCACCGCGTCTGCGACTTATTACATTTATTTCGAGTGAGAATATTCTTTGAAATCTACAACATTTGGTATTTAGAAAATTGCATAAAAAGAAAACAACGTACGTTAAAAGAGAGAGAAAATAAAAAGCCAAAAATATTTCAGAAAAAATTTATTTGTCTTAATTTAAACTACATTCAGGTGTGAGATACTCGTAAATAGATTTTTGCAATTGAAAAATTTGGCATAGGTAGATGGAGTAATAAAATAAATAGGAAGAGAGCATTGATGGTTGGACCAATCTTTCTACCCTTTGAAGAATTCATACGATACCCTTTAATGGTTTAAAAAAAAATTACTCGTGACAAATGAAATTACTCGAGCGATTCTACTAAATAATTAACAGAGTTCCTTGTGAAAAGACTTATTTGGTTGTTGCGAATAAAAATAAAGGGAGAAAAGGCGAATTACGAAAGGCACTTTGTTGGTCCATTGTACGAGCGATCCCGTCTTCGTTAATAAACAGACCACAATTATCGCGCTTGCCGCGGGAGGATATAATTCGCGCGCAGTCGTGTAGAATAACGACACCCTCGTCGTTATTTCCACTTCTCCTCGAAAAGGAAACGACCTGCTCGCATCGTGGTTTCTCTCGTGCTTGTGAAGCGCGATCACGATTACGATACCAAAGTAGTATCTCTTTAAAAGTGTACGACAAACTTTTTCACGCTTTTTATAAAGTTAATCTATCGATGTTCCTATATGAATTTCCATAAAAATTTTTTTATATCTAGTAATCCTCCTATATCATCAGAATGTTCTCCTACATCTAATACTTTTACGAAATTACAATTAGAATTTCATATGTATATCTAGTATTTCTTCAGAATAAGAATCCCGAATCATCAGAATTGTTTCCTGTATTCAATTTCCGTATCTAACGATTCTCCCAAGTCACAATTACAATTTAATTGTAATTAAAGTAAACGTAATCTAGAATCGTGAATTATCAGAATTTTCTCTAATATACAGGGTGGTTAGTAACTGGTGGTACAAGCGGGAAGGGGGTGATTCTAGGCGAAAAAAGAAATCAAAAATATAGAATAAAAATTTTTCGTTCGAGGCTTTGTTTTCGAGAAAATCGACTTTGAATTTTCGCTCGGTACGCGTGCACTTTATCGCGTCTCGTTGTAGCGGATCTCACTGTAGATCATTGTCTCGATTGACATTATTTTTTTAAATTTTTAAATTTTTAAATTTTTAAATTTTCAAATTTTTAAATTTTTAAATTTTTGAATTTTTAAATTTTTAAATTTTTATTCTATAATTTCGACTTCTTTTTTCGCGTAGGATCACCCCCTTTCCACTTGTACCACCAGTTACCAACCACCCTGTATAACATTTTTACAATTTTCAATAAAATTGTCTATTATATACTATTGTTTATACACAATTACATTAGATAATAGACAATCAAAATAATATACTATATTGAATTTTTGATTAAAAGTTCCCTACCTTCTGTAGTGCATTGGCGCAACAGGCCAGCTCCTCCTGGTCCTGAGAATGATGGCTGGGTGTTTAGCATGGCCTACTACAGGCGCCGAAGTACGTCCCTGGTTCCTCTTTCCCCAAAGATGACCACTGCCGCCCCCTGGTCCACTTCCGGTTCCCAGAGACCCCGGATGTGACCCACTTTCGCTACACGCCCGTCTCGAAAGCATCTCCCTTTTCCTATCGTCCGACTTCATCATCTCCTTCTCTTCCTTTTTTTCCAGCAACCCTGTTGCTATTTCTGTCCTTGTTACTTGTTTCTCTGGAAAAATTTTTCAGCGAATGCGCAAGGGTTGGAAGTGCGCGAAAGAAGACACACCCCGACAGAGAACAAGTTTCAGATTCACTGCGGAGGAAGTTTTATCTTAACGTTGCTTTTCCAAGAAGCACGGTCTCTTTGAGAATTTCCGCTCTGCACTGCCAGGAATCCTCTGAATGTCTCAGTAGACCATAACTTCTTCTCTTTTCTGCTATTTTCCTTTCCAACTTGCTCACAGACTCCCGCAAAATTAAGTTTTGAAATGCAACTGTCGTAGAATTAACATAGTTACGGAAGTTTCGTAATTTTAGGATTTTGTTTAATTGATTTATTTATCTAGAACTTATCGTTGGCCGAATTACTTCTCTTCGTTCCATTTTTCTTCTTCCATATTGAATCTTTCTTCTGATATTTCTTAATATATTTATATTTGTCAATTATATTTCTTAATATATTTATATTAATATATTTATAGTATGCTGATATTTATTTCAATTTTAGTCTTCTACGATTTTCAACTTCTCTTTATTTCGAAATTTTGTTTCACTAATCGGATTCTTCTCCAATTTTGAAGCTGTGAGATTCTTTCGTGATCACGAACTCGAGATCGTCTCAAAAGTAAAATTTGTCATTGACAAAGATTCTGAGCTTAATGAAATATAAATACGCAGTTTCTTCCAATTTCGCGACGACAGTTTAAAAGTCTTCTTTATTTTGGCCCCAAGCTCCGTAAAATTAAGACAAACCGACTCGCCCGTGAATTCTACAGTTAAGAATGGAACTGTTTACGAATGTTGAAATCAGCAACGATTATTTCAACTCTTCCATTGAAAGTGTCAATTCCAAGCTCTTTCTTGATGCTCTTATTCTCTTTCTAATTCGTTGTTAGTAAGAAAACTCTCGAAAACGTGAAAAGTAGAAAAAGCGAAGTGCGTTGGTCCTCCAGAAGAAACTCGATTATATTTATGAAAAATTGTAGAGAGGAAAACTAGTGACTTTTTAAATCTAGTTATCTAGGGATTATCGTTGAGGTACTGAGAAGTTTTAAAATCTGGCAAATCTTATGTAATTTTCAAAAATTTTAAATGTATAATATTTACAAGACACACACTGGTTTTCACTTATTGAAGATTAGTGAAGATTTTCATCAAGACGTAAAGTATTCTATGAAACTATTCTTTGAAGAGTTCTACACTTTTTTAATTAATATTGCAAATTTTACTTTTAAATTACATTTATTTAAAGACACGTCACTCTTATAATTTTAGTTTTAGTCACTCTGTGACGAAAAGGCCGATGTGTATTACTGGTTAGTTTGTAGTTGCTGGGCCACTTTTGTCGTCCTCTTCCGGTAGTTTCATCTGAAATCGTAGAACTATGTCTAATCGCGAATCTTTTCAAAGTGTCGAACCTCTGAACCTGTTGCAAGACGAACTTAATATGTCGTGAAATCTGCATTTGTATTTCTTCGTTTGAAATTTTAGAAAGCATCGAAAATTTATTATGTACAGCACGCTACGAATTTTTATGCATTCGTGGGAAGCTTGAATATACAATAGTGTTTAAAATGCACAAGTGATACCCAAAAACATTAAAAATATTCAAAAGAAAATTCTCGTTACAATACGAAGGTTTATATTTATATTCCATTTCCATAATTATCTTCAAGGAGATATAAAATTGCGTTATTTACTAATTACTTATCATATTTCCCGCTTAAAATAATCTGAAGGACAAACTAATCTCATCGATCCTGCAATCGAACATTCGATTGATCCACTTAACCTCAATTTACATAAACATCCAAGATTGACAACAAAACGAAGAAGACAGGAGAAACTTCTTGTAACGTGCTGAAGAGATTGCAAGAAGATAAGAAAGTTCAGTCCCGTACGAACGATCATTGAGAAAGTTGATCAAGTTTGAAGACTGCGCTGAGTGTTTGGCCAGGAATCCTCCGCCCTCCTTCTCCAAACAAAGCGGTTTCAAGATACGTAGAAGAAAGGGACGACCTCAATTTTCGTGGGATTGGATCAATCTTCGTAGTTGCAGTCAGAAACGTAACACTCTCAACAAGTGGTTGACTGTCTAGTTGAAATTCCTCGCCAGAAAATCAGAATAAATTTTGGGGGACGTGATCCAGATTGCAAGGCCAATTTGATTGCGCGGTTGATGGTGAATTAGTTCTCAATCCGACTTGGCCTAAGTAAACAAATTTAGGAGAGATTATCGAAGTTGAGATGAGTTTAGTGCGAGGATCGATTAGTTTGTCGCATAGGTCTTCTGACGTATTTAGAGAACTAGATTTGGAGTTATATATAGCAATTACAATTAAATGTGCGTTTACTTTGTTCCAGGTCTCAACGCATGGGTCCCGAAGGTGCTGGTATGGCGTTACACTCTTCACACCCACCAGTGCCAAGTGGCAACTCCTCCTCCACGTCGGTGGGTCCTGGTAAACGCTGGCTTGCCAGTGGCTAACGGAGCAATGGCTACCCTAAACACCCTTCCTCTGTCCTGCTCCCATATCACAATCCTTTCCTCGAACTGTGACTGGTGGTTCCGGAAGAAAATGTCGACTGTACATGGTGACGTGGCTTAAAAACCCACGCTTCCCGAGGAAGAGAGCAGGGTATCATCGTGGCATAAAAAACCAGGGGGTCGTCGCGGGTTAATAACTCGCCGGACGTACGTCAACAGCTCTGGCTCGTGAGGGGACATGATTTGGTCCCGGTCGCGAGGCTGGCAGGGGCATTTTACTAAGGAGGCCGGGGTTCATAGCTTTCTCTTTCTTTCTCTTATTTCTCCCCTTTTCCTTACCTCCCAATT